TTTTTATTTAAATATTATTTTATTTTCACTATATTTTATATTTATTTAAAATAATAATTTATAATTATATTATTAGTTGTCATAATTATTTATTATTATACGTTAATATTAATTATTATTTTGTAATTTATATAGACAAAATTTTATATAGACAAAATCAATATTAATAGTGTAAAACTTAACATTTTTTTTCTCTTTTTTCATTTTCTTCCTCTTATTTTTTTAATCCTTTTTACATAGAGAAGATGAATATAGGAAGGAAAAAATAATATATGAAGAAAATCAGAAAAAGTGGATAATGATCTTATATTTTAAAAAAGTTAGATATAACCGTTGAGGGAGAGAAGAGGGAGAGGTTGAAGAAGATATTTTAAAATATTTTTATTATTTTTTTATTATTTATATTATTTTATATTGTTTTTTATTTATATTTTTATATTATTTTAATTATTCGGATGAAATTGAGGGTTGAAAAATAAGTATTACCTAAATATATAAAATTAAGAAATTAAATAACTTATATTTACTAATTAATCTTTAAATTAAATATTGAATAAAATAATATTTTAAATAATAGAATAAAATATTAAGTTTTGGTTGTCATTAATATTAAGAAAATAAATAATATAAAACAAAAATAAGAAAATAAGTTGATAATTACTATCTGATTTTGATTGATTAGTATAATTTTTTTAAATTATTTGATAAAATGTTTAGTGTATATATAAAAGTTATATGAATTTAAATTCTAAATTTTAATATTATTATTGTAAATTTTATTTTGTAAAATTGGTATAACGTTTAGAATTTTAAATATTTGAATATATAATAAATAATTTTAGCAATATTATTGATATTTATTTTAAATTTTATAAATAATAAATTTAAAAAATATTTAAATTAAAAAAACAATATCAATATATACTTATAATAATTTTTTATTTTAATATTTATATTCAATTTTAAATTTATGTAATAATAATTTTTTAAAACTAATATTAACATTTATCAATTATACTATTGATAAATTATTATTTATTTATTAAATGATTAATACACATAAATTAAATAATTGATAAATTAATATTTGTTTAATAATTAATTATTTGATTAATATTAATTAAATCAAAATTGAAAAAAATAAATTTTGTTAATTAAATAACTAATCATTTAATATTTAATAATCAAATATCTAAATATTAATATTTATTAAATTAATAATTAATAGATTGAATTTTTAATGTATAATTAATATATAAATTAATATTTTTAATTCAATAATTAATATATTAATATTTATGAGATAAATAATAAATAAATTATTACTTACTACTTAAATAGTTAATAAATTAATATTTATTAAATAAATATTTAATATACTAATTTTTATTGATTAAATAAATAGTATGTGAGTTTTATTAATTAAATAAATAATTTATTAATAATTATTTTATTTCTTTCAAAACTTGGTGGTAATCTAAATTTATAATATTATAATATTTATGGGTAAATATTTTATGGATAATTTAAATTTATTGACAGATTTGTATCCTTTAATAATTTTTTATTGATAATTTAAATCTATTGATGGACTTATATTTATTATTAACTTTTTGTCGATAATTTGAATTTACTAACATAAATTATATTTGTTGTAATCTAAGATTTTATAAAGAAAAATATAAGTGGTGGTGACACAATGACATAATGAGAAATTATAATTAATTTTATTTATATAATTTTACATGTTTTAAAATTTGAAATACAGTAGAAAGAGATTTGATTAGTCTTAAGACACTACTACAAAATATGCTTTCAACGTCGCCATTTAACGCTCGGCTCAAGCCGAGCCGACGTTAAATACACTTTTAACGCTCGGTTGGTTAAAAAACGACGTTGAAAGCCGAATGTTGGACACATTCTACGTCGATTCTTAGTTAACCGACGTAGAAAACACTTTCCACGCTCGGTTCTAGATGAACCGACGTAGAAAACACTTTCCACGTCGGTTCTAGATGAACCGACGTTGAAAGTCTTTTTTTTATTTTTATTTTTACTTATTGATAGCGGTTATAAAGGAACCGCTATCTAAAGTCGACTTTAGATAGCGGTTCTATGGGAACCGCTATCTAATGTCGACTTTAGATAGCGGTTCCTTTATAACCGCTATCTAATGTCGACTTTATGATCGATCATTTCAAGTTATGATCGATCAGAATATTATTTCGCGCGAGCGAGGGCAGTGTCGCTCAAGCGAAATGCAACCCGAGAATGCTAATTTTGTGCAGGGGGCTTTTCGCTCGAGCGAGAAGGGTGTCGCTCAAGCGAGATACACTTTAGATAGCGGTTCTAGGGGAACCGCTATCTAATGTCGACTTTATGATCGATCATTTCAAGTTATGATCGATCAGAACCTTATTTCGCTCGAGCGAGGTTAGTGTCGCCAAGCGAAATACAACCCGAGAATGCTAATTTTGTGCAGGGGGCGTTTCGCTCGAGCGAGAATGGTGTCGCTCAAGCGAGATACATTTTAGATAGCGGTTATGACCGATCAGAACTATTTTAATCGATTAAATCTCGTTTCAATCGATTAAAACAATTTCTGCACAGCGTTTTAATCGATTAAAACTTATTTTTATCAGCTTAAAATTACTTGAAAAGTTTTACGAGAAAGTTTTGCAAGTATTTCAATCGATTGAATCGCGAAACAATCGATTAAATCAACTTAGAATATTTTTTGTAAAGTGTTTTAATTGATATAAATGTTGTCGTACGTATCAGCTTAAAACAAATCTGTTTTAATTGATATACATTTTTGTAAAGTGTTTTGATTGGGTGTTTTGGTCACTCAGATTTGAGATTCAAGGTCATTGGGTTGGATTTCAAGCTTGAGGTCAGGTCATGCATGCTGGGTTAAAGATCTTGGAAGCTGAATAGAAGGGTGGAGGATTGGGGTTGGAGAGACGAAGGTGATTAAACTCGAACAATGGTGGATAGTCACTCGGTACAAGGTCGAAAAGAGGGAGTGAAATTGTGAGCGGGAAGGTGAATTTATTTGTATATATTTACACGGATATATATTTATTTGTATATAAATATAATTTATTCGTAAGTTATTATCAAAAAATTCAAGTAGTTTAGTGGTTGGAGTATCAGCCTCCAACTCTAAAGTACTGGGTTCGAATCCTGCCAATGACAATTCTCTTAAAAATTAAAAAACTTCTAAAAAATATAATATAAAGAGATGGAGAACCTAATAAAAATATAATAGGAAGAGAAGGGAGACTTCTAGATAAATAAAAGGGGGGGGGGTAAAGGGGTTGTAAATAAATAAAAATTATTAATTTAAAAAATCATATTAGATAGCGGTTCCCTCTAAAGTCGACATTAGATAGCGGTTCCCTTAGAACCGTTATCTAAAGTGTATTTTTCAACGTCGGTTTTTTTGAACCGACGTTGAAAGTTACGACTTTCAACGTCGCCTGATACAACGTCGGTTATTAAACCGACGTTGAAAGCCTTCCAGAACCGACGTTGAAAGCTTTATTTGTAGAAGTGAGGATATAAGGTGTCTTTCAACGGTCTGGATGAATGCTCGTTTTGAATTAGTACCAGAAAAAGAAATATAGAGACAATGTATAATTTTTTGAATGAGAGGGAAATAAAAGTAGAATAATTCTTTTTATAAGTCTCTTATCAAAATATTTTAGTATTATATGTTCTAATTCTAATTGTTGTGCCTTAATGTAATATTTGTACACGGTAAGGAAAATAGGCGTTTTGTGAGAAAAATATTTTTTATTACTTAATATTTTGCTAGAAATGTTTTATAGGATTCAATTAAAAGTTTCAAATGATGCAGCTTAGTTATAAGATATTTAATTAATTACAATCTCTTTAAGGATGACGACGGAATTCATTACCATGAAAATTTATTTACAATTTATAAAGAAATGTTTGTATTCAAAAGTATATAACTTTTGATAGATTAATTAAAGGATGTGCCAAATTTCATGTAGCTTTTTAGTATGGTGTATAAATATAACATCCAACAAACTATTTCATTAAAACCATTCAAACTTTTATATATATTCTCTTTTCTTCTTCTTCTTCTTCTTTTTTTTTTTTTTTTTGGTCCGTTGTTAAATTTTTCTTTTAATTTTTTTTCTTGAACGTGGGATATACATTTATGTACAATAATATTTGATCGTTTTATTTGAAAAGAATAAAACTAATCGACAAATTGTCATTTTAACTATTAATAGATAACGAAGACTATACTATTGAATGCATTGGTTAGTATTGAAGGAACCAAACTTAAAAACATAGTGAATAAAAGGTTTAAAAAATTGTGTTAATTTTAATTTTTTTTCATTCAAAATTTTTAATTTTTTATTGAATTTTGTTATTTTGAATATTTCATTAAAATCCTAAAGTTATTTTTTATTTTTTTTAATTCTTATGATATAATTTATTAAATTAAATTACAAAATCTTAATAATAAAAGTCTTTTAAAATCTAATAAATCACAACAATACTTCATAATTTTCTAAAATTGGTAAGACTTTTATACGAAATAATCTTTTTAATTTTGAATTATTTTAACATTAGATAGAGGAGAGGGTTCTTATAAAAGTTTATTGTAGATTCTAAGCTTGTTATTGCAGAGGACATTATTTTGAATTCAAAAATATTTATAACCTGACATTACCTCTATATGGTTGCGAATAAGAAGAGGAATATAAAGAAAAAGGCAAGAAAGGAAAGGAAAATGAGTGGGTAAGAATGAGAGAGAGAGAGACTGTGTCTGGCTAAGTCATCCAAGAGTTTTAACATTAAATTAAACAAGGAGTAGGGTACGGAGGAGGGAAGCGAGATTCACGCGCGACAGACATGGAGTGAGGATGAGGAAGCCAGTGAGATCAGTGAATGTAGGAATGTCCTTTATAAAAACAAAGCAAAACAAACACAACAGAGCAGACACAGAACATAAACCAACAATGGACTCTCTCTCCCTCCTCTGGACCGCTGCAATCCTCGCCGCCGGCCTCTACTGGTTCTTCTGCGTTCTGGGTCCCGCCGAGCAGAAGGGGAAAAGCGCCACCGCCATATCCGGCGGCTCCATCTCGGCGGAGAAAGTCCAAGACAAGTATAAGCAATACTGGTCCTTCTTCCTGCGCCCCAAGGAGATCGAAACCGCCGAGAAAGTCCCAGACTTCGTCGACACATTCTACAACCTTGTAACCGACATCTACGAATGGGGCTGGGGCCAATCCTTCCACTTCTCTCCCTCCATTCCGGGGAAGTCCCACCGCGAGGCCACGCGCATCCACGAGGAGATGGCAGCGGATCTCATCGAGGCCCGCCCCGGCCAGCGGATCCTCGACGTGGGTTGCGGCGTGGGAGGGCCCATGCGGGCCATCGCGGCCCACTCCGGAGCGAACGTGGTGGGCATCACCATCAACGAGTACCAGGTCCAGCGGGCCAGGCTCCACAACAAGAAGGCCCGGGTGGAGTCCCTCTGCGAGGTGGTGTGCGGCAACTTCCTCCACATGCCCTTCCCGGACGACAGCTTCGACGGCGCGTACTCCATCGAGGCGACCTGCCACGCGCCGAAGCTGGACGAAGTGTACGCGCAAGTGTTCCGCGTTCTGAAGCCCGGGGCGCTCTACGTCTCGTACGAGTGGGTCACCACCGACAAATTCAGAGGGGAGGAGGCGGGACACGTGGAGACGATTGAGGGGATCGAGAGAGGGGACGCGTTGCCTGGGCTGAGGAGCTACGCCGACATCGCCGAGACCGCGCGTAGGGTTGGTTTTCAGGTCCTGAAGGAGCTCGATCTCGCTCTCCCACCCTCTCACCCTTGGTGGACCCGCTTGAAGATGGGTCGGATCGGCTATTGGCGGAACCACCTTCTCATTTCCGTACTCTCCGCCTTGGGAATTGCGCCCAAAGGTACCCTCCATGTTCATCACATGCTCTTCCAAACCGCTGACCATTTGACCCGGGGCGGTCACACCGGCATTTTCTCCCCCATGCACATGATTCTCTGCCGGAAACCCATCTCTACTTGATCAATCTCTATCTTTTTTCATTTTCTTTTTTCTCGTCTTATTAGTTTTAATCTGTCATCAACTTGGTGCATGAACTTTGGGTTTCCCAATTATGATTCATCAATGGACTCCATTTATTCTTCTCATCATCATTTGTTGAAGAACCCTTAACAGTGGGCTATCGATTCACAGTCTCACGGATCTAGGAATCTTGGAAAGTTGTCAGTTTCCTTCTTCTTCTTTTTTCTTATTTAAAAATTTTTCGATCTTAAGAATGTTGTTGTCACCGATCTGATCATGTATTGTGTGGTGTGGCAAAACCCCACGAAGGAGAGTGAGAAGTAAAAAGTGGTGTTTCGTGAAGTTCAGCGTGCCATGCATGATGGATGTGTTATTTATTGTTTAGTTTTTATATTCAGAATGTTAAGCCTTCCTGTGTTTATTTTTTGTTTGTTGGTTGCTTTTAATCACCTTGTGATTGTGATCAGGGAAAGCACAAACATACCGCAATGTCTGCCTCTTTGGATTTATCGTTGTATTTCTCGTTACTCTAGACTGTAGGAATAAAAAAAACAAGAGCTGCAGTAATTTTTTTAGTATGTTAATCACGGTTTCTAACTACACAAAAATAGAGTAGCCATGGATAAAATACTATTCCTTTCTGTTTGATGAAGTGCATGAAGGATAAAGTAAATTGAGTACCATTTTGAATTTCACCACCTACATTTAAAAATTAAAGTCTAGTTGTTACACTCCAATATGTTATATACTAGTATCTTCACCCAGCAATCGCAGGCGATTATCTAAATTTTTTCATTAATAATAAATAATAATTTAATATTATAGTAAATATTAATAATAAGATAGGAAGAGAAAAATAAAGAACAAAATATTATATATGATATTAAAATTAAAAATTTAGCATGAAACTAAAGCCTTAAAAATTAGAGAAAACATGTTTTAATGCGTAAACAAATTGAATATTTGTAAATGATCCCAAATTTTCAAAATCCTTCTAAAAATACCTTGATTTCTATAACATTGAATAATTATGATAAAACACATCTCATTTATGAATCATAACAAAAGAACTAATAAACAAAATGGATTAGTAAAAATGTAACCCTAATAAGTTTGGGTTTAAAGAAGAAGATTTGGGGCCACACAGAACACATCCATTTCAAGGGCAAAACATACCCATTTTAAAGAAGATGTGCGTAGGAAAAGACTTTAAACTTATTAGGGTTATATTTTTGTTAATCCACTTTGTTCATGTATTCTCTTATGATTTAGGAAATTTTTTCATGGTTATTATACGTTAAAGAAATCAAACGAGTATTTTTGAAAAATTTTAAATTTGGGGTCATTAATCGGTTTTATTACCCATTAAAACAAGATTGTACTAATTTTTTTGGGGTTTAATTTGATTTATTGTAATTTTATTCGATTTTACACAATATTTTTCAATATAATTTTTTTCTTAGTATTTTGAAAATTTGGGATCATTTACTGTTTATTTACCCATTAAAATAATTTTTAGTTTCTTGCCTTTTATGTTACCTTCATTGGAAGGAACTAAAATTTAAGATGAGAATAGACAATAATCATAAAATATTTAAAACATGAAAAATATATATATAGAAAGATATAAATTTATAAATATATAATACACAAAATATATCATGCATTGTTTGTACCATAAAAGAATAAAGAAACTTTAAAATAAGTAGTATATTATACATTGTATGTTAACATAGGATTATGCTTATTTATAAATAATTGTTATTATATGTCACTTATAATGACGGATATTTATAAATAACTATTATCGTATGTTGACATACAATGACAAATATTGTTATAATCATCGTTGAATAATTGTATTTAACATGCTTATGGTGATGATTATGGTATTAACTGTCATCGTATAATTGTTTGTTTTAATATATAATTTGTTTTATGGCTCTATACTCATTAGTTGCATATTTAATTAATCTAGTACAATACAATGCAGATATTTAACATATTCACATACATAAGCAATCATAAATATGTACCATAGACAATATTTAATATAGTTTGACTACAAAGTCATTTATAATGTACAAGAATAATTAGTCAACTATCATAATGTTTTATCAAAAAGTCATCATCATATACATAATATTTTTTCTAAGAAGTTAACTATCTTAAAGTATTAATCAAGTTGATGAAATATGTTGTCCATGTGCGTCTAATATATTTTATGGCTTTTGTATCTATAGAAGATGTGTCAATAAAAAACTGCAATATTTTAAATAAATTTTTATAAATATAATTATAACTAATTTTTTGGCGTATAATCATCTTTAAATATATATTTGTCTTACATGAACTCAACATCTTTCTATTCATACTTGGATAATGGTTGTTATCCATTACATTACGTAGTAACTATATTCATATCCTCCAATGTATCTATTTACTCAAATTATAGAAATTAAATTAATTTGTTAGTAAAAAAAAGAATCTAAAATAAATATTTGTGATTATACCTTTAATGCAACCATGTGAGCTTTTGTGATTTTTCACTTAGTCTACCACTCATTATGTTATATAAAAAAAACACTAATAACATATATACTTAGTTAAAACATACAAACATAATTGTTATATAATTATTTATAAAAAGAACCAAATTTTGTTACTAATATATATTTGTTTAAGAAATATAACCGACTTTTTATGTAACAAACAAAACCATGTAGTTGTGTTGTCAATCATATAGATATGATAAACTATTTTCAATGATGAAAATACATTGAAACATATTGAAATTAGGTAAAATTGGAATTGAGTAAAGATAAACTACAAAGAGAATGTATTTACTCATAAACATATGATGTAAAATAAATATTTTTCCCGATAATATTTTTTTTTGTGATGTATGTTTGTATCTCTGCTTTCTTATTACCCAATGGTTGAATGAATTGAGGATCTAAAAATCTATAAACCTCGTCTTTTCCCTCATTCAAGTATAATTGGGATATATACCTATAATGAATGACATAATAATTAATGAATTATTTCAATAACTAAAATAGTAATAATCTTAGTTGAAATAACTTACATAGTCCACATCTACAACGAATATTGCACTCTAGATTGCCCAATGTAATATTTAACACATCACACATGTATAATGGGACCTCACTCTCCCTACCAAAAATAGTAGAGTACCAAGACACCTCAAATGGATTGGTACTAATGGTCTTGACAGCATCCAACAATGTAGACAAAGGGTCACTAGTAGTATATTATTTCTTCTTTTTCCCATCTTTCCGGCTCCATTGCTATACATAAATAACATTAGTTTTAGAAACAATATAATAAACAAGAATCAAACCTAGGAATATTATTGTCTTACTGCAGTGTCTGATATGGGTGTTAGTCAAAATTTATTATTTAACTTGTTTCCTACTTCCAAGGGAAGTTTTATTGTTTAGGAACAATTTCTTTTATTCTTGTTTTGTTGTCATGTAATACGTGGCTCTTTGATTCATTTATGTGTGAAGGCTTATATAAGCCACCTTCTGTTTTCTAACAAATAATACATGTAGACCTCAAATCTTGTCCGACCTCACAATAAAGCCAAAAGACCTCCATTCAAGGATGGGCAAAGCCCCTAGGCTCCATAAATTAGGATAGGAAGACTTTTTGTACACAGAAAATAAGAGAAAAAAATATTTTTTTTTTCGAAAGCCCAGAGCAACCAGACGATCATCTTGCCTTATAAGGTCGAGACGACCATCTCGCCATTTAAGACGAGACAACCATCTCACTATTTTGCGAGACGAGCATCTCGACTCCCAAGTGGCGAGACGGCCGTCTCGCCTCTGTCAGGCGAGACGACCGTCTCGGTCTAACAGACACGAAAAACTATAAATAGGGGTCTCCCTTCCTCGTTTTCAACAACTTTTCATCTGACTTCATTCTCCTATACTCTTCTAGAACCCTTCTGAAGCATTTCCAGAGTTCTAGTGCTCTTTTAAACATTCTAGAGTCTTTCGGTAGAAGAGTGAGCAGCGTTGTAGAGTGAGGGGATAGCCAAAAAGCATCCTCAATCTTCAAAAGACTAATACAAAGCTTGCTTCGGAGGTTTCTTCCACATACTCTCATTTATTGATTTCTTTATAGCTTTTCTCGTGTGCATATTAAGTATTAAAACCATGAAGATATTTAATTTCCGCAAGTAGATAAATAAATAGGGTAAATGCATAGTTTTTTAGTGTTTATTTTATAAACTAGTCCATCATAGGGAACCCAAAAGGGGCGTTGTGGGGTGCTAACACCTTCCCCACACGTAACTAACTCCCTTACTCAACTCTAGTTGTAATGACCAAAGTTGGTTTTCTAAAACCAACACCTTTTTCTTCCTTTTTCGATGTTTACGGTAAAAAAATTGGTGGCGACTCCATCAAATCTTTTCGAAAACCTTGCCTTTAGGTCTAGCCCGGTTATCGGACAACCTAAAGGCGTTGAATACCTTCTTTAAAAAATGCGAGTCAAACAAAATCATTGCATCTCTCCGACCGTCTCTTTTGACGGCGGCGATAGATGGCGACTCCACTGGGGAAGCTAAAGAGTTGATCTCATTTAGTGATGGACTAGTTTAAGAAATAAAAACTTGAAATTATGTTTTTACCCTTCCTTGCTTTATAACATGCTTTACTGTTTGACTTTAATAACTGTTGTATGTTTATTTTATGCAATTGTTTGAAATAACAACTGTACACAAACCCTTGCACACAACAGTTCCCCCTATACCCGGGGCCAAGTGGGACAACCTTAGGGAGTGGGTGACATTGTACGATTTGCTGTAGTGAGGGTCATGAGCCCATCGGTATGGTCGAAAACCACCACTCAAGGTGATAACCTTCTTCTTTTTGCCCAAAGACTGACAAGGCCCTAGTGTCATGCATGGTCTGAAGGCTAGGAGAGTGGGGACCCTATAATGGGGGCACCTTGGTGAGGATAATTAA